CTTCAGGGACCCCTTCCTACCTAGAAAGGAAGACCCGTCACCCTTTATCCCTTAATCTGCAAGGGAGACCTTCCAAGACTCCCAGTGGATCCATCAAACTGCAAAGAAGACTTAACGTCTTTCCACCCACAACAACCACTTGCTGCGCACTGCTGCCATAACCTGCACAGTGTGTGCGCCAACAAAATTAGAAATTTCCTTTTCCTTTCTTCACAAGCTTGTGGGTCAAACACTTGTTTTTAGCAGTCTATGCACTTGATTTGCTTTCTTCTATGTCAAGAGCATTCACTTTTCACTTGAAGGAAGTACTTAGCAGCCCCATCTTGGCATTTCGAATTCCATATGATTCCCCTTACCCACTGGAGGCATCATTAAGTGAAACAAGGGCAGCTGGACCCAAGCACTGATGGTTGACTGCTAAGCAGTACTTCTGGGTGACTGATAGGCAAGAGATTTACACATTGTGAATCACTAAACTAAGACATGACTCACATGGGGAGGGGGGCAAAACCCCTACTGATGTGGGAATGTTCAGAACTTAAAAACTTAACAGCTAGCTGGACATGGTGACACACCCCTTTAGTCCCAGCACTCAGGAGGTAGAGGCAGGTGGATCTCTATGAGTTCAAGGTCAGCCTGGTCTACATAGTGAGTTCTTAGCCAGCTGGGGCTACAGGGAGACCCTGTCTCAAAAAGACAAACAAACAAATGAAAACTTAGCAGTTTATTTCCAAAAGGGGTTACAAGTAGAAAAGAAAACAATCCCTATTTGTAGACTATATAATTCTATACAAAAGTGACCCTAAAGACACCACCAAAACTCCTAACTCTGATAAACACTTTCAGTAAAGCTTCAGGATATAAAAATCATCATATGGGGGCTGGGGAGATGGCTCAGCGGTTAAGAACACTGGTTGTTCTTGCAGAAGACCTGGGTTTGAAGCCCAGCACCCACATGGCAGCTAACAACTGTCTGTAACTCCAGTCCCAGGGGATCCAACAGCCTCTTCTGACCTCCGCGGGCACTGCACGACACGGGTGCACTTACCTACATAGAGGCACTCACTACACGTATACACATAAAATAATAATAAATAAAAATTTTTAAAAAATCATCATTCAACATCAGTAGCTTTCTTATAAGCCAGTAACAAACTTGCTAAGAAGAAAACAGAAATAAAAATTCCATCCATGATAATTAAAAAAATAAAATACCTAAGAATAAATCTAACCAAGGAGGTGAAAGACTTCTTCAATGAATTCTTGAAAACACTGGAGAAAGAAATGAAGATGACACTGGAAGATGCAAAGCCCTCCCTTGCTCATGGTAAGACAGAATTAATGTTGTGAAAATGTCTATTACTAAGCTACAGATTCAAAGCAATTTCTACCAAAATTCTAACAACAGTCTTTACAAAACTAGAAAAAAATCATGAAATGTATATGGAAACACACACACGCACGCACGCACACACGCACCAAACAGCCAAAGCAATCCTGAGCAGAGCAGTGCTGGAAGCATCACAGTATCTGATCTCAAATTACATCAAAGAGCTACAATAACAAAAGACAGCATGATACTAGCACAAAAACAGACATATAGACCAATGGGATGCATAGAGGACCAGGTACACGCCTACAAAATAGCAATTATCTAATCTTTGATAGAGGTGTCAAAAACAGACATTGATTTAAAAAAAAAAAAAAGCCTTGGAACTGGAGAGTTGGCTCAGCAGCGTGAGAGCACTGGCAACTCTTGTAGAGGACCTGGGTTCAATTCCTAGCACCCACAAGGCAGCTAACAACCATCTGTAACTCCAGTTCCAGAGGATCAAACACCCTCTTCTGTCCTCTATGGGCACTGCATGACATGGGAACATCTACACACATGCAGGCATAATACTCATACACATAAAATTTAAAACAAAATAAATCAAGAGGCTGGAGAGATAGCTCAGTGTTTAAGAGCACTGACTGCTCTTGCAAAGGACCCAGGTTCGATTCCCAGGACCCACATGGCGGCTACGAACCGTCCTTAACTCCAGTTCCAGGGGAATCTGACGCCATCGTCTGACCTCCGCGGCATTGCACGACATGGGTGCACACATACATGCAGGCAATACACTCATACACATAAAATAAAAATAATAAATTAATTTTTAAAAAATAAATAAATAAATATTAATTGTAAAAAAAGCCTCAAGAGGACTGGGCATGTTGGTGCATACCTTTAATTCTAGCACTCAGGAGACAGAAGCAGGCAGATCTCTAGGCATTCAAGGGCAGCCTGATCTTACATAGCAAGTTCCAGGCCAGTCAGAGCTACATTGTGAAAACCTGTGTCAAAAAACAAAACAAAAAATTACTTTTTTTTGTCTTTTTGGGATAGGGTCACCCTGTAGCCCCAGCTGGCCTGGAACTCAATATGTAGACCAGGCCCCTTGAATTCACAGAGATCTACCTGCCTCTGCCTCTGGAGTGTTGGAATTAAAAGTGTGCACCACCACACCTGGACCCCCAAAATTATTTTTTTTTAAAAAAATCTTCAGTAAATGATGCTGAGAAAGTTGGATATCCACATGTAGAAAAACTTAGCTAGATCCTGCCCAAAAATCAACTCAAAATGGGTTAGGGGCCTTAATGCAATATCTGAATCTCTGAAACTGCTAGAGGAAAATATCAAGATGCTGGAGGCATAAGCAGGAACTTTCAGAAAAGGACTCCAATAGCAAGGGAAGTAATCCCAAGAATTCACAAACATTATGTGGCATTAAAAGTCTTCTGCACAGGGGCTGGAGAGATGGCTCAGCAGTTAAGAGCACTGACTGCTCTTACAGAGGACCTGGGTTCAGTTTGCAGCACCCACATGGCAGCTAACAACTGTCTGTAACTCCAGTTCCAGGGGATCCAACACCCTCTTCTGACCTCCATGAGCATTTCACAACATGGGTGCACCTACCTACCTGCAGTCAATGCATTCATATATATAAAATAAAACTCATAAATATTCCTATACATCAAAGAAAACAATCACTAGAGTGAACAGACAACCCACAGAATAGGAGAAAGCCTTTCCAACTGCACATCTGACAGGGGATTACTATCTAGAATCTATAAAGAGCTCCCAAAATTAAACACCAAAAAAAAGTCATCTAATCAATAAATGGGGACATGAACAGACAGCTCTTAAAAGAAGGTAAACTTGGGCCGGCCTTGGCCTCCCTGCACCCTCGCCCTGCAGGCGCAGCTAAAAAAAAAAAAAAAGAAGGTAAACAAATGACTAATAAATGCTTTGAAAAACTGTTCAGCATATGGCAAAAATGCCAGTGAATTTGCCAAGGTTCATTAAAAGTCATTGGACCAAGGCCAGGTGTGGTAGCACGCGCCTTTAGTCTCAGCACTTGGGAGTCAGAGGCAGGTAGAACTCTGTGAGTTTAAGGCCAGCCTGGCCTACAAAGCAAATTCCAGGCCAGCTGGGGCTACAGAGTAACCCTGTCTCAAAAAGACCAAAAAAAAGTCATTAGGCCAGATTCTGTACATTTTATAAAAGTCATCCCTACAGTTGAATTTAGATATTTTGGCAAGCCACTTAAACTGGAATATTAGTATAGTTTTAAATGCATTTCTTTGATAGCCAAGAATATTGGGCTCTATTTTTTTTTCTATTTAGATAGAGGATATTTTTCCTCTATCTATTGGCCATTTGTTCTTCTTTGGAGAAGAGTCTGTTCAGAGGTTGGCATTTTATCAACTGGATTTCTTCTCTTGGTTTTTATTTCTATGTGTTCTATGCAGTAATACTCTGTCACATGAAAGGCTTGCAAAGATTTTTCTCCCATCCTAAGCCCTTCTCTTTGCTCTGCTGTATGGAATTTTATTTTGATACCATCCCACTGGTCAATTTTTGCTGTTATTTCCTGAGCTATTGGAGGCTATACTGTTCCACGAGTTGTGGCTTCTTGGCAAATTTGTCTGCGCCATCATTATCACACCCTTGAAATCTAACCTACAGAAGGTCAATGCCAACTGCTACCCTGGGCTAATCTAGAATAGCATTTACTCCCTACTATAAAATAAGGAGTGGTGGCGGGTAGATGGTGAACTAACACATGGCAGCCAAACCTGCTTTGTAGTCTGAGATGGGGCCTTTCCGGCCCTCTCCTTGAACAAAGTACTAATATTATCTCAAATAGAGTGAAAGAGAAAGAGCCTTTAAATTTCTCTTCAGATCTGTTACTTTGACCTCCACTTTAGCTATACTTGGACCTTATTGGAGGATAATTCTTTCCAAGATACCCCACCCTATGGCATCCTAAAACTAAAGAAAGTATTATAGCATTCTACATGTTCCTGTTCATACACATGCACTGTAAGGCCCAGTCTATAATTAGATTTAGTGAGAGATTGACAAAAATAACTGAAAATACAGTTGAGTGTTGACAACACTGTACTGTACAACATTGTCAGCATCACTATACCTGAGTTTTGGGACCATTATTAAATGAAGTCAGGTTACTTGCACACAGCTCTGCCATGCTGTGATGGTTGGTGTGATAATTGATGCCCCTAAGTGACTAATGGGCACATAGTATATAAGCTTGAATGCACTGGACTGAGTGAAGGTTTATGGGGTGGTTGGGGGGATGGAGTAGGACGTCAGGAGATGCCATCGTGCTATTCAGAATGACACACAGTTTAAACTATGAATTATCTCTGAAATTTCCATTTAATATTTTCAGGCTGCAGTTGCCCATGTATAATCAAAACTCCACATAAGGGGTGACTGCTGGGCAAGGCTTGTACGGGTCATTCTAACATCCTGTGTCCTAGATTTCATTTGTTTAGATGGAGCTCGACACCATGTCTCCGGGGTCTGCATAGTTCAGTTTGCTGTTTGAAGTCCATGGTGATAACTGCCTTTAGCAAACAGCAAATTAGCTGAGTCATGGGGACTGTGTAAGTATAAAAAGGTAGGGTGGGTGGGGACTCACACTCAGTTCATACTGCCTCTCCAAAGGGCTCTGGGTGCTACTGTGTGCAGAGTTCCACAGCTCGGACTGCTTGAAGGGGGATCAAGGGACCCACACTGAGCCCTGGTGGACAGCAGAGAGAACTGGAATAATTCTGCCCAGAAAAGGAACAGCACCTCTCTTGGCCTCCCCCTGCGTCAGTCAGGTAGGAAGGGTGAATGAATTGTCAGGTTCATTGGGGACGCTGGTCCTTGTTTCTTGTTCACTCTGCTTGCAGCTCCCCTGATAGCATCATGCAAAGTTGCTCTCATTTGCTTCCAGTTTGCTGTTTGAAGTCCATGGTGATAACTGCCTTTAGCAAACAGCAAATTAGCTGAGTCATGGGGACTGTGTAAGTATAAAAAGGTAGGGTGGGTGGGGACTCACACTCAGTTCATACTGCCTCTCCAAAGGGCTCTGGGTGCTACTGTGTGCAGAGTTCCACAGCTCGGACTGCTTGAAGGGGGATCAAGGGACCCACACTGAGCCCTGGTGGACAGCAGAGAGAACTGGAATAATTCTGCCCAGAAAAGGAACAGCACCTCTCTTGGCCTCCCCCTGCGTCAGTCAGGTAGGAAGGGTGAATGAATTGTCAGGTTCATTGGGGACGCTGGTCCTTGTTTCTTGTTCACTCTGCTTGCAGCTCCCCTGATAGCATCATGCAAAGTTGCTCTCATTTGCTTCCAGTGCCTGTGCTCTTAGGTCAGAAATTGACAAGGATTCTCTGTGCTGTGTGTGGTGCTGGTGCTAGGGATAGAGACCAGGATAGACACGGTCTCACCTTCTGAAAATGTATTACATTTCCCATGTATTACATGTGGGTCACTTGCTGGGCAAACTTCACCTGTGCATGCATGTGAACTGCTGCCAGGACAGCTCTGCCTGATGCCTTCCTCCTCTTCCTCCTCTTCTTCCTCCTCCACTTACTCCCATATTCTCTACAATCCCTACACCCAGGTTCCCCTCAACCCAGAGGCACCAGGTAATACTGACTGCTCCATCTTCTCAAACAGGAGGATTTCCTGCCCAGGACAGAAAGTCTCTCTGGATACAAAAAGAAACACGTGCAATTTTTTTTTCTTAATTCCTTAAAGTCTGAGGGGCTTAACTGCAGCCATCCCTGGCCTGTTTTAGTTCAAGGAATACTGGTCCTACCTCCTGATTCATAAGTTATCATGTGCAAAGGTCCTGGGGACAGGCACTGAGGGAGGCTCCGGCTGGGAGAGGAAAGCTTTCTGATACCCTGAGATTTTCAGGAAACATGTTACTAAGACTTTGAGCCAAAAAGAACTTCACAAACCAAAGAGGAAAATGGGAGATGAATTCTGCGTTCATGGGGCGGGGCTTCTACAGATGGCTGTAGTATGGTCTAAGTGTACCAGTGACTGTGGTTGATGGGGGCTGAGTTGCCTCTTTTGAGTGCTTCAGCAAATCTCTGGTTGTTGAGGGTCTAGACATGGAGGGGCTAAGTCTGTGTGGCACTTGTACCTGGTGATGGACGATGTAAAGAAAGAAGCAGAGATGGTTCTGGGGCTGACGATGGGCCTGGGGAGGTCAGTAGGGTCGCTGCTAGACAGAAACACTTTCCATATTAGATTCCCACTGTGTAGAAGACAGTAGGTGCCTGACATCCAGCTACATCTCTGCAGAAGTCCCAGCACTGAGCCTCTGTGGACCATTACATCTAGAAATGATACCCAGTAGTGCATTTCTCAGCTCAAAGGGGCAGCTCTTGGTAGGCGCAACCCAGAGCCTCTACAAACACCCAGCAAGATCCAGTACATTCGATATGTAGAGGATGAAGTACACACAGGCAGGCATTTTCCTCTTAGGCTTACACTGCCCAGGGTGGTACTAAGACCTCTTTGTCCCCTCCATGCTCTGTTCTTCCACTGGTCCTGAATGCACTGTGTCCAGTAAAGCCTCCCCTGCCCCTGCCTTGGGAAGATGGAAGCTAAGGAGCTAGGCCACGATGCTGAGTTGGGATCTTGGTTTACAGAGACCAAGTTCTTTCTTCCTCTCTGAGAAAAAATCCACAAGAGTCAAACAAATGGGGATTAACACAGAGCTGGGAATTTCTGAATTTGAATAGGCTATGAATAGCCACAGAATCCGAGAAGTGCTTGCTTAGGGAATTCAAGAAGTGTTTGCGTAGGAACAGGGATGGGGTGGGACATGGAGAAACAACAGGCACCTGGTTTCTCTTTGTTGAGATGACAATGTCCTAAAATGGGCTGTGCGGATGGCTGCACACATCCGTGAGTGGATTCAGATCTACTAGATCATACACTTGGAATGGGCACATAGTAGAATATGTGTTCCATTTCAGTAAAGGTGCTGAAAATACAGGAGCTGGGGAGGAGCCTCTTAGAAACTGGAATTTTGACCTGCCAGATACCAAGTCCTGGCCAAAGAAGGGCTTCCTACCTCCTTTCTCTTCAACTGGACTCCATCTCCCAGAACCTCTGACCTCTTACTTCCCTTTGTATGCCTCAAGTGCAGGCCCTCTGTAGAGACAGAGCAAGGGACCCAGTCAACCCTAGCCCCAGCCCCATTCCCTGCTGTCAGACCCACACCAGGGTATACAGAAAGCCATCCTTGGTAGCTTCCAGAACAGAAGGCCCCTCAAAGGCCCCAGACCTCAGTGCACCTGAGTGGACCAACTCAGGGCTACGCTACACTCATATTTTTCAGCATAGCTGACAACCTGGATTATCAGAGTACGGTGAGCTTACCTGTCTTTTCATTGGTTTCCAGTTTTTCCATACTATGGGGCAGGAGCTGGGGAGGAGCCTCTTACAAACTGGAATCTCTGACCTGCCAGATACCAAGTCCTGGCCAGGTCGCCTTTTGCTGATGGGGTCCCCTTCATCTCACAGGCATCATGTGGCTGGAACTTCTTCTCGCCTCAGTGCTGGGCTTTGTCATCTACTGGTTTGTCTCGAAGGACAAGGAAGAAACCTTGCCGCTTGAAGATGGGTGGTGGGGCCCAGGGACGAAATCTTCAGCCAGGGAAGATGAAAGCATCCATCCCTTCAAGGTGGAAACGTCGGATGAGGAGATCAAGGTGAGGCATCCTTTCCTAGGCAACAGCAAAAGCCAGGGAGTAACCATACAGCGGTTCCTGTCTGGCTTGGATGAAGGCATGCATAGAGGGGTTTGGGAGGCAGCTCTTTGGTGAGCTTTTATCTGTTTGGTCTTCTCCCTTAGGGAAGATGCAGATTGCTTCTAAAAGATATGTCTAGCTCACCAACCCTATCCTGTGTCTTCTCTTCCCCCAAACCAAGGCCCATTAAGGCTGAAAGTTTGGGGGAGGGACTGCCTATAAGACTTCTGGGTATATAACAAGTCCCAGAAAGCTATTGTCCCCAGCCCTCCCTGCCCCACCTGAAGGGTGGAGCTTGAGGAAGCTTGAAAGAAAGTGAGTAGATGCCTGAGACCCCATGTGGAGGTCATTACGTACAGAGGGAAGCATAGAGACTACAGGGTCAGCCTTAGCTAGGCCCCTATTGTATGTTGGCCACTCCTGGGCCCATCCTGAACTGGATCAATCCTGCCCAGTAGGGCCTGCTGTCCTAACTCGCAAAGGCAGAACATGAAGCTGAGAATAGAGAATAGTATATCAGTGAGTCTCAGGTGATTGAGTGAACGAACAGAAGAACTGGAAATCAACTCCAATCCAAGGCCACTTCTGCCTCTGCAAAAGCCCAGAGTATGTAGACCAGTAGAGAGAGGGAACAGCCTCCTGGGAGAGCCAGGACTGAGCAGAGCCAGGAGGGAACAGAACAGCCAGGGGCCTCCCCATCATTTCATTCCCCCCAAGTGCCTGAACACCTACTGTGGAGTGCATGGCAGAAGACAGACTGACCTCCTTCCCTCACACAGCTTGGCATTCAACATCCAGATGTGATAAAGGAACACTTAGGACGATTTGGTGGCCCACAGATCTGTAAGGATCAAAGTCATCAGATACCTTAGACAAAAGGTCATGAAAGTTCCAAGGAGGAAGGGATTTAGAACTAGGAGCTGGACTGAAGCCAAGGTCAAGTGCCTGGAGCTCCTGTGAGCAATGCACTAGGGCCTCCCTGCTAAGGACAGAAGCTGAAGTCTGAGGATCACTCCTGGGTGGAGTCCAGACGCTAATGGAGTCTAAGGTTTCCAAAACTTGTTTAGAAGAGAGGCCAAGGCACGGCAAGAATCTCTGGGAATGGTGACACCTGAGCTGTTCCATGGTCTGAAGTGAGTGTCCCCAGCTGGGTTGCTGGACTATTATCCTGATACACACCCAAAACACTTGAACCCTGTCTCTAGGTCAGTCAATTGTCTCTCATGGAGACAGAGTAAATCATTCATGGTGCTGGCACACCATGACCACAGGAAATGTAACCTGTAACCTGCTTTCACACTGGCCGCTGTCAAGAATGGCTTTTACATCCTGAAATCTGTATGTACACAAACCAAAAGAAAAATTAATATTTGAAGGCATGTGATGACTGTGCGGCACTTAAGTTTCAGTCTTATACTGAACACAGCCTCGCCTGTTCATTCACGGGTTACCTATGACAGCACCTTCACTGCAGGGAGAAAGTGGAGGACTTATATCTTTCAAAGCCTTAAATCTTTGTCTTGTGGCTCTTGATAAAGTTTGCCAACCTCTATAGAAGCCTTGGTAATTTAAAAATGAGTATTGTTCATACACCTAAAAAATAAGACCTGAGTGCTAGAGTATAGCTAAAAGGCAGGACACACATATAACATGTACAAAGCTCTCCTTTCTCTGTACCTCCTATCACCCCAAAACAAAGAGAGATGAAAGAAAACCTAAAGTCTATAGGAGAGAACCCATGGGCCTTACAGGGATCCAGTGACACACACGGTCATCCTACATGGCCATTCTGTGGGATCCCATCTGTGGCCTCAAGGTACACTCTGAATTGCAGACAAAAGCTCTCTCTTGCTCCACTCTCTCTCCTTCACTGCAGGACTTACACCAGAGGATTGATGGGTTCCGTATAACCCCACCCTTGGAGGGCAGCTGCTTCCACTATGGCTTCAACTCCAACTACCTGAAGAAAGTTGTGTCCTATTGGAGGAATGAGTTTGACTGGAAGAAGCAGGTGGAGATCCTCAACAAGTACCCTCACTTCAAGACCAAGATTGAAGGTAAGCTTCCAGAACACTAGGCCAGGGAAGTAAGTCACAGGAGCAGCCTTCTCACACAAGGTGACCCCAAGTCAACCAAGCAGCAATGACTGAGGATCCAGTGGTAGGTCCCTGAGATGTAGTTGAAAGTATTTGTGCATACTCCACACATACACAACACACACACACGCACACACACACAAAGAATTAAGGAAGGGAAAGTTTATTATTTTAGCTCACAACTCAAGGGTGCAGTCCATCATAGCAAGGAAGTCTTCATGGTAGGAACTTGAAGCAGCTGATCCATCGCATTGTGTCTACAGCCAGGAAGCAAAGAAATGAACGGTTGCACTGGGCTCCCTTTCTCCATTTCATTCATTGCAGGACTCCAGCCCATTTAGGGTTAATAAGTTAACCCTAAATTAATAAATAATCATTAATAAATAATCCCTCACAGACATGACCCACAATCTTGTCTCCTAGGCAATTAGACATCCTATCAAATTGGCCATCAATATTAACCATCACAAACCCCAAAGAGAATCAGATGTGAGAGTACTTACGAAAACCAGATCCAGTTGGGCATGGTGGCACACATCTTTAATCCCAGCACTTAGGAAGCAGAGGCAGGCGGATCTCTGTGAGATTGAGGCCAACCTGATATGACATAGTAAGTTCCAGGCTAGCCTGTGGCTACAGGGAGACCCTGTCTCAAAAAGAAACCGCCCCCCACCCCGAAAAAAGAGAAAACCAGATCCACTGTGTTAACTTTTTTAATATACTCAGACATTTTTAAAGATGTATTTAGTTTTATTTTATGTGTAAGAGTGTTTTATCTGCATGTATATATGTATACATATGTGTGAAATTTATTAATATTTTATTGTAATAAATAGACACAAGATGAGACAGGTGGCCTGCGATGGCAGAAACATCTCAGGCAACACCCAGGGCAGAAAGCACAAGAATTAAATGGTGGGGCAGGCAATCTTGGGACCACAGCCTCACTTCACTGTCTTCCTAGCAATCCCAGTTACTAGGTGTTACAGCATAAAACCTCCTCGGGATGCAAATTCTCAAAGAAGATAGTTCCAGCCTTGAGTTCAACTTGGACAGCAGTCCACTAAGACAACCCTCTGTAATCTGGCACTTTCCTAAGGCTGGCAGCCTGTACTAGGCCTGATGCTTGTAGGATGGATTTCCTCTGCTAAGCCTGCATTCATGGACCTCTGACCCATCCCACAGGGTCATCTGGTGGCCTCAGCCCCAGGGCCTTCAGCTGAACTCCTTTTTTAGGCTCTCAGGCTAATCCAGGAAGGCTCCTCCCTCCTTCCTCACACTGCACATTTTCAGGTCCCTCTTTTCCCCCAGGCTCTGACACTTGGTTTCCCAGCTGATCCTGATCCTACTTTTGCAAAAAAGTTGGATCATGCCACAGGTATGACAGGTCATTTGCTTTTACCACCTACCAGTGAAATCTTCCCTATGTTAGATGAATGTACCACTGACCCCCACTTTACATGACTGTATTATGCTGCCGTGCTCTGCTAAACTGCAGCCATTTGTTTAATCCAGTTTGTGGATATATGGGATTCTCTGAGTCCTTAACATTTCCATACTAAGTAAATGTTTATGGAACCCCACTACAAGTCAGGCACTGTTCTGGGCATGGAACCTAGAAATGCACACCCAGGCTGCCACTGCTCTCCAGAGAGCATGTTCTAATGTAACAGAGAGGTCAGCAAGGACACACACATAACCAGAGCACACTCTAAGCACCAACAGTGAGACTTGTTATTACCGTTGTCAGCACCCTGCAGACACCGAGGGCACAGCACCTGTTCTCCCAGGAACAGCACACAGGGAAACAGAATGGCCACAGGACCTCAGCCTCTGCAACTGCAGCACTCTCCATCCCTCACCCTGACTGTTCTCTGTCCCCAGGACTGGACATCCACTTCATCCATGTGAAGCCCCCCCAGCTGCCTTCAGGTCGCACCCCAAAGCCCTTGCTGATGGTGCACGGCTGGCCTGGCTCCTTCTTTGAGTTTTACAAGATCATCCCACTACTGACTGACCCCAAGACCCACGGCCTGAGTGATGAGCACGTGTTTGAAGTCATCTGCCCCTCCATTCCTGGCTATGGCTTCTCAGAAGCATCCAGCAAGAAAGGTGCAGCATCCTGGAGGCACATCCCAGGCCATGCCCCCAAGAGCTAGGATGCCACTATGCTCCCCTGTCCAGATGAGGCCAGGCAATTAAGAAGGAGAACCTGAGGGATATTTTAAGCACTACAGGGCAAGCTCTTTTAAGACATGATATCAGGGACTACAAGAGTTGCTAGCCCTACTCAAGTCTAGACTCTATTTGCACCACTCAGGGGAAGCTCCACACTTGGGCCAGCATGGCTGATGGAGCCCCATGCAATTTGTCCTGCACCCACCCCACAGTGGCTAGCCAAGCCCAGCACACACCTGCCCTGCCTGACAGTAGAGCAACTGTTGATGACCTTGCCCTGTATGGGCTGAGCTTCCTGGGGACCCTTCTGGCCTCTTGTAGGCTGATGTCTCCTCAGTCTGGAGGAAGGCAGGTCTAGGGGATTTCATATGCACCAGAGCCCCCAGGAGGCCTCCCTGTGACTCCTCTGTATGTCCCCTTCAAATGCAGGCTTCAACACAGTGGCAACCGCTAGGATCTTCTACAAACTGATGTCAAGACTGGGATTCCAGAAATTCTACATTCAAGGCGGGGACTGGGGGTCCCTGATCTGCACCAACATAGCCCAGCTGGTCCCCAAGTAAGTCACAGCGCGTGTGCAGGCACAGCTCGGACTGACTCTCCTAGGTCAGGATCTGCATGTGGGTGACATCTATATAAGACATAGGGCTGTTCACTCCAGGCCATCGTAATCAATGTCTGAGACTTGGAGCTCCTTCTAGCCGGGTCCCCAGGCAGGAGAGCATAGGGAACCAGGGCAGAGGAGGGAGTCCCCTCCCACAAATATATGGGTATGGGGTACACTCATCCCACCCTCCTCTTGGTATACACAGATGGTAACCGTTCGTCATGTGCCTAGGCAACACATAGTGAACAGAAATGAAGGTTGCATCCAGGAGTATCTAATCTTTTGACATCGCAATCTGATGTCACCTACAATCGTTTTGGGCTTTCTTTATACCTATCCTTGGGACAGGAGTGGTCTCTGGGCCTTTATGGTAGACAACCTCTGGAACAACACTGATCAAAACTCTTTAGAAACTATTCTGCCCACTCCCTCAACTCCAGCTCTGTGGATCCTCAGTGAGGCAGCCTCTGAAAGAGGCTGGACTGTGTGCTTCAATCTGGTGGCCTGTCACTTCCTCCTCCATCTCCTTCCCACTTTCTCTTGAGAGCAGCCAGCCGACCTCACCAGTGCCTATTTCTCTGCCCACAGCCACGTGAAAGGCTTGCACTTGAACGTAGCCTTCATTCCAAATAGTCTCTACACCCTGACCCCTCTCCTGGGCCGACGTTTTGGGGAACTTTTGGGCTATAATGAGAGGGATATGAAGCTCTTGTACCCCTTCAAGGAGAAGATATTCTACAACATTATGAGGGAGAGTGGCTACTTACATATCCAGGCCACCAAGCCAGACACCATAGGTGAGTAATCATGGTGGGGAACCTAACTGCTCCCCCAAAACACTACTCACATGGAAAGCCCTAACAAGGAACTTAGAACACTTTTGACCCCCAGACTGCATTTCCCTCTGCTAGTGAGTTCCTGAGATTCCAGGCTAATCCAAAACATCTCCATTAACCTGATCCATTGAGTCCTCACAGGGCTTAGATTCCTCATGGCTACCCTGATCAGTCCTCCAGCAGTAAGCAGAGAGAAGGAGAGGGTAGGGCAGAGTGGTTGGCAGTTCTGAAGCTATGCACCAGTGACCAGGGTGCCCAGGGACTAAGGGAAGTCCTCAATAACTGAGAGGAGGGCTGGCAACCCTTCCTCCCCCCAGGGCTGTGTTGATAACTTTTTGTTTATTGTTTGTGTTTTGTTTTGTTGAGATAGGGTCTCTCTCTAATCATAGCTAGCCTGGAACTCTTTATGTAGCCCAGGCTGGACTTGATCTCACAAAGATCTACCTGCCTCTGCCTCCTGAGTGCTGGGATTAAAGTTGTGCACCACCACACCCAGCCAGATAACTTCTTTTAAAACTGAAAATTCATGATTCTCTTACCAATATCAAATGAGCATGTGGCTTAGATTTTATTTAACTTGTTTATCCATAGGAGAACCAGTAAAATGTTGAAAGCACCATCAGTTATAGTCAAAGGCAGGTAGAAGCACAAATCCGTTTTCTAATGGATGTAAGACTCATCAAACTCTACAGAATGATAATTAAATATCCATGGGTCAAAATTCACTTCTTTCTCAATGGACAAAAATCCTTTGCATTGCTCTGGCCTTTCTGTGGCTCAAAGTGGAGTGGCTCAAAGACAAGAGCATGTGGGATTCTTAAAGAATTAGCGGACTGAAATGAGTTCTCTTGATATTCCCCTGTCCTATTCAAAAGACACCTGGGAATTGTTTGACCCATTTCTGAACTTCCCACACTTCCTATGGCAACACAACATTCATGATACTCACCGATGTCATTGTCCCAGCCACGTTTTTAGTTTGGTTTAGGTTGGGTTTTCTGATTATTTGATTTTTGTTGTTGCTGCTGCTATTATTGAATTTTAATTTTTTTGTTTTATTTTAGCAATTTTAATTTTATGTGTATGAGTGTTTTGCCTGCATGTATGTAAGTACACCACATGCATGTAGTGCCCACAGAGACCAGAAGAGGGCATCAGATCCCCTAGAACTAGAGTTACAGATAGCTCTTAGTCACCATGTGTGTCCTGGGACCCAGGACCTCTGCCAGAGCAGCCAGTCCTCTTAATTGCTGAGCCATCTCTCCAGCCCGTTTGCTGGTTTGTTGGTGGATTCGGGGGGTATTTTTGTTTGGTTGGTTTGCTCTGCGTTGATTTGCTTTGGTGCTGGGGCTCAACTAAAGGCTTCAAGCATGCTCAGCAGGTGTTATACTGCCAAGCTCCGCCCCAACACCTTGCAATTTTAATTACTGGAATGGTATTTTATCTCAGCAGTATGTCAATATTTATAACATTTTCCTTTTATGGACTTTTAAATTGATTCTCATTTTTAATATCCAGATATTTTTAATATCCAGACCAAAGTCCCCACCTTTATAGAAACAACATTGTGGGTTAGGTGAATGGCTGAGTCTTAGAGCATTTGCCTAACAAACATGAAGCCCTGGGTTCAAGCCCTAGCACCATAAAGTGTGTGTGTGTGTGTGTGTGTGTGTTCTCACTTGGACCTCAAGAAACCCAGAATTATTTGCCCTTCAGTTTGAAAGATACAGCCCTTATTGTGTGTGAGACCCATGAGTTCATGGGGAAGATTGATTCCATTTACCAGATGAGGCTGTCAAGGCCAGGGTCCAGATGAGAGCTACATAACAGAGCTGTGCTGGAGCCAGGGCTTCCACACCTGGTACAGCTCTGGGCTAGTGCTACACACCTATCCTGGAGCCCCCACCCAGAGACCAGGCCTGAATCCTTCCCTTTCCTACCCGCCAGGTTGTGCTCTGAATGACTCTCCTGTGGGCCTGGCTGCCTACATCCTAGAAAAGTTCTCCACCTGGACCAACTCAGAATACCGGAATCTGGAGGATGGGGGCCTGGAAAGGTGAGGCCCCCACTGCCCTGCTGTCAGGACCTGGTCCCCAGGCCCTACCTCTGCTTGTCCCCCATTCATCCCTAATCAAGTCCCTCTATGGGGCGCTAGTAAGCTCCTCTGTCCTTGGCATCCCACACATCCTGTTGCCATCACCTGTGACCACGGGGTCCTGCATGGAGGGTGGGGAGGTGGAGGCACCTACAGGCCTAGTGTCTTGCTCCAGCCTCTCAGGCAAGTAGTGACAGAAGATAGAAAACTTATCAGCTCCTCCTATAGCCAAGGAGTTCCCAGGACAGCTAGCAACTTTGCAGAACAGTAGGGGTCTTGCATCCAGGCCCTGGACAAACTGTAGGTTCTATGGGAGCTGATAAAGAGCTATGGAAAAATTGGGATGCCATCCCATCTCCAGAGCTCCAGAGGCCGCACCCTGCACAGAGCTTGAGTCCTGGGCCTGGTCCAGGCTTTTGCTCTGACCCCCAGTCCCCAGGGTTCATCCTTTTCTTTTTTCTCTTCAGAAACATACAAAGCACCAGACACAGAGCTCTGGGCAGGAAGAGAGAATGAAATGGGCTAGGATCTGCCTCGGGACAGAAAGGCTGTCCTGACCCTGCTCTAGCTCCAGTACCCACCGCAGCCAGATACAGTGGGTTTTCAAGAAATAGATGGTGGAGGAATGAGCCCTAAAGATGTATGCAAAGGACTGTGGGAAACCAGAGAAAGTGATTGCTTAGTCTAGAAAGAAAGTAACAGAATGTTGTGATCTGGGCCTTGAAGAATGAGTGAAGGTCTGGTTGGTGGAAAAAGGAAACTGAGGCAAGGAGAAAAGCAATCCAAATGCAAATTGAGTTTCAGCTTGTCTTGAGGATTGAGGGCCAAACCACTGGGGCCAGACCACAAACTTGGTTCTCTGGGTAGGGCACCAAGAGCTCAGGCAAGTCCCACCCTGGTCTGTTTCCCCAGATCATACTCAGCAGGACCCATGAGTGATGGAGCTCCACTGAGCCCCTGGCCAGGCACTGGGCATGCTCTTTGCAAAATTACCTACAGCCACGTGCATGCTCTGCCCTGGTACAGGATGCACAGAGCTCTGAGCATACCAGGTCAGGTATAGGTTCTGGAAAGAACATTCACAGTCTAGGCCGGAAGTGGTGGCTATGGTACTTCTGGAAGCTGTGATCAGGCAGAAGAGAGAGGGGTTCTTGTTGAAAGTCAGTCCGCAGCAGTTGCATGTTTGTTTAAATTGTTTAGTGTTAGGAGTAGTCTTCCTTGCCAGGAAACCGCCTGTCGCATGCATTCTCCATGTTTTCCCATTTTGTAGAAATATTTCTGTGATGCCCCCTTTGCCCTATCACCCAGGCTCTCCCTACCTCTAACTCCACTAGTGGGAGCAGGGCAGAGGTGAATCAAACACTCCTTAAAATGTGCTTCAGAGGATGAAAAGATCATTGACTAAAGGCATGCAGGGAGCTGAGGCAAGCAAGCATGTCCCCCAATGTCTGATTTCAGCGAACTGGCTGTTGATGCATCAGCTAAGCCATTAGTAGAGCTGAGCTGAGGGCCAGGTAGGGAGACCAACCAGTATATTGTGGTCCAGGCAGCAGTAGCAGAAGCAGGGATGGAAACCAATGGGAAGACAGAGAGACAGGGAAACTGGGGCATAAGGCGGCAGTGAGCTCACAGGACCAGGGTTTCAGACGCCAATGCCTGAAGATGCCACATTTCAAGCTAAAGAACAGAGAATGGAAAGGGGAGTCTGCAGGCACGAGTGTGGGGCCTGTGTGTGTGTACACATGTGCATGCATATGTGAGTGCATATGGCTATGAGTGTGCATGCTTATGAGCCGACACAGGTTTGAGTGTGCATGAGTGTGAGTGTGAAGGTCCTAAGCACTGTGTATGTGCATATGCATGCACTTGCACAAGTATATATCACTACAAGTGTGCATACATATTAGTGAGCATAAGTGTATGTTGTGTGAGCACACAGGCCCCTAACCATTGTATATATATTCATGTGTGTATACATGGGTGAGTGCATGAGTGTGAATGTGCAGGCTCCTGAGCACTGTGCATATAAGCAGGTATGTACTCATATATGGATCTGAGTGTGAACTAGCTTGACCACTGTATCAGAAAGTCTCAGGACAGACACAAAGCTCATTTTTGGCACAGTCGTGTTGAGGGGCAGAGGCTGCAGGATGTCCAGATGAAGATGTCCACTCAAAGCCTGGATCCACAAGATGTGGAACTCAGGTGAGGGCTTCCTTGGAGTCAGTGATTTCAGCCAGGATCAATATATGCAGGGAAAACGTGAAAGGCAGCTCTCAGGGAGGCTGGGAAGCCTTGTTGACTGCAGGAGAGGAAGGGAATGAAAGGGAAGGAGAGAAAGACAGACTGAGACTAGGGAGATAAAGCTCCATGAGGCATCCCCTCCTATGGGCCTGAGCAGCAGGGAGAGTTCCAGGGTGCAGAGCTGAGGAGAGAAAGGAGTCAGTAATGTGTAGGGCACCCAGGTGGGGTGCAGGGTGGGTATGACATGAGATTGTGAAAATTCCTGAGGCAATTTAGGACAGAACATTTATTCTGGCTCATGATTTCAGCCCACGGTCTCTGGCTCTATTGCTGCTGGGCCTGCAGCGAGGCAGAACATCATGGCAGACAGGCAAGGTGGAACCAAGCTACTTACCTCATGGCAGCCACTAAGCACAGGTGGACAGAACAAATACAGCCCTCAGTAGAATTCTCCTCCAGTGACCTACTTCCTCCACTAGAACTCACTCCAACTTTCTGCCTCCACCCAAATGCTATCAAGTTACAAATCCACCAGTAGATTAGCCTGTTGGTGAGCTCTCAGGGTCCAATCACTTCCCTGAAGTCTCACCTTGGAACACTGCTTACTGCCTCTTGCAGACCATCTCATTATCCAAAACCATCACACTGACCCACCTGTGTTCTCTACTGTGATTTTACTTCTGATGACTCCACGTGTCTTCCAATTATCAGAAATGGGCCACAGGCAGGGTAAACAATTTCAGAGTCTCGGGGCTAGGCATGGTTGTGTTGCACATACCTTTAATCCCAGCACTCTGGAGGCAGGGGCAGGTGGATGTCTGTGAGACTGAAGCCATACATAGCAAGTTCCAGGCTAGCTGGGGCTATTGGAAGAATATCTCTCTCTCTCTCTCTC